CAGTATCCGCCAGGTGCTAATAATGTGCACTTTCCTCACTACCCCCGCCCACCCTCCTGCCGTGCTCGCGTTCCATTTTGATCACCACAAAAATTATGGATAGGTCTACTACTGTACAAATATCATGTAGACTCACACATCGGTCATTATGTTTGACTGGCATGGCATGGAGCGTACCAACCTATCTATCTAGGTGAATCGAGCAGTTTTTTATTGTTTTCTTTTGCTGCGTTATTTGCGATGAAGGCAAGGAAGGGGGGGGCGTCTGATAGCGACCAACCACAGAGAGCGACGGCGCCGCGATCGACCAAAGCCACCCGAAGTAATTTGATCCATCGAGCGTTGACCATACCGTCCAACTGCCGTGTGTGTGCCGGTAGGGCAGCTTAGACTTTGTGTGCACGTGCGGAGCCCGACACCCTACATGTTACGACCAAGACAGAAACAAACACGCATGGCACCGGGAGGGGTTGCGGTAAGTTAGACAGATCGTGTATTAAGTCCGCGGAAAAGATGTGGCTCTTCGTCGGCTATCTACACTACTACCCAGAGAATAACACGATGATGCATGTCACCCCAGCGCAGACGGTCTTCTACTGGTAAAATATGTGAACAAAGCCAAGATCCTTCCGTCGCAACGATGTTGTTGAGTACGGTAGGCCATGTATCGTTCCTACACTACATGTAGATAGAGTGTGCGGAGTAGGTTTAGTATACATACGGAGAGTTGAATGTATGAGTGCATGCATGCATATGCATGCGTGCATAGACTATAGACTATACCGGCGAAACAGCGCCTCTTTTCCTACTTTATCTACAACATTTTGCACTAAATCTGAACCGCGGGGCCAAGCAGCTCTCCCGGTGTCGGTATATACGTACATGTATGTATGTAGTCTACAGCCATCCTGTACTGGTGCGGTGATGCCTACAAGTAGTAGAACTATAGTCCACAACAGCAAAGCCACTGCAGCAGAGCGTCTGACGTGGGTACTGCTGCTGTATGTATTAGTCATCAGTTTCGGGAAAGATCCTTCGTCCTGCCGTTGTCTCCATGTTTCCACTACATACTCCTTCACGTCGTTACCTAGTACACCTCCGGCAATCCTGCTTGTAGGTACTACTGCTGTGTGCCCACAATATCATTACTGTAGCGAACACGCAGGAGGAGAAAAGACGACTGCGAGACGGGCAGCACACAAGGTTGCCAACCTACAATATGTACACCCACCTGCAAGGGGGGCCGTTTAGCAGCACAGCAGTAGTATGTAATCACGAATCCAGCAAGTGATGCAGATACCCGCCGCAGCCCCCAGATGCATCATATCCTGAATTCGATCTTTATTGGAGTACATGCTACCGCTGTACACACGGATTGCTGTACACACGGTGTGTACCGTAACATGCTACTGCTGTACACACGGTGTGCCGTACATAGATCTGCTGTTGAAGAGATATGTGAAATATTTCACTTTTGACCCCCCTCCCCAAAAAGGTCCGCAGCTTCAACGCTTCTTCCCGTCATCTCACATACGTCATACGAAATCACTTTTTTTCTCCTGTTCTAGGGGGCGGGGGGGGGGGGGGGGGGGCAGGGCTCCCCTTTCGATTTTAAGGATACGGGCTTTTTCATAC